CCCCAAAACCCCAAAACCCCGCATCTATAGAGTTTTTTAAAATTATGAAATCAATATTTATTAATGATTTAGGTCATTATTATATCAAATTGAAAGAAGGATACTTCTTATGTATTATTGATCTCATCTATTATGCTATTATTATTATTAGTCTTGGCTAATTCCATCGTAGTGATCTTAGATGGTTTCATAACTCTCAATTTTCTTCGTCATCCATTTAAGAAGCACATTGAATAACCTCTGTGGATTAAATGGCTTGGTTACTAAAATAAATGAAATTGAATTTAATTACTATAATCGCACATTCCACTGTTTAAGCATCTTTCAATTTCCTAGCTTGCTACAAACGCACTTACAGCTACGATTGGAATATCTTCTATCTTTCCTTCTTATTGAAGTTTTTTAATCTTTAGTGTTGCCTATATTAATTATGAAATCAATGGCTAAAATACCTCAACACCGTTCATTACTGGCATATCATAATCCATAAGTATTATTAGGTATCCTTGACACTTATTACATTTAGAATTTTACTCTTCTACAGCTTCAACAGCAAGCTGACCGTTCCCGACATCGTGAAGCTCAAATTTTACTTACATTAATGTGTATTTTGTCATAACCTTGATAAATTCATCATCCTCTACTATTAAAATGCTTGGACATTGGCATTCCTTTCTCATTTCTCTTATTCTGAGAGCAAAAGTAGTTATCTCCTCTTTCAGCTATTGCTTTTGTAAAATTTCAAGTTCTTCCACAGTGAAACCCTAATCTTTATCAACGTAGTTATCACTGTTTAACTTTGAATTTTCTTCTATCGCAATGCACATATTAATTTTATTATTGGTTGGGGAATCTTCAACAGATTGAAAATCTCTTAATCCGTATCTATCAGTTTGGTAGTTAATCTAGGTATTTCCTCTCTTAAAGTTCAAGTTCTTAAGTGTCATATTAGTGAATATTTGTTATTGAGTATTAATCTGGCCAATTTAAGGATTAAAACCATAGCTATAATGATCTACTGGTATAAAGTTGAAAGGTTTTCCTCCAAACTATGGAGAAATATTGGTTAGAATGTTATTTTATTAAGAATTCGAGGAGCTATGATTTTTTAAGTTATTTCTCAGCTACTATTCTAGCAGTAATTACTCATAAAATCCCTGTGGGAAATTTACTCCTGATTATGTAATTGGCTGTTATGGATAAACTTGATCGATATGTATTTCTGGTTATAATCTTAAATCATTGCCCATATTTATTAATTCTGAACTCTCTTAAAGGATAGAGTCAGGGTTCATATTAACTTACTCTCCAGAATCACTATCATTTGCAGGTAAAATAAGAATTGGTGGTATAAATCGTTGATTATTCTAAGGTTGATGATCAATTGAATCACTCTGCATAAATAGTCCATCTAACTTGGCCATATTATTATTTTGTCGTTTAATGAAACTCTGAGAAGCATCATCGATTGATGCCTTATTAATGAGTTCAAAATTGGTGAATTTTGCATTTTTTTCATCATCATTAAATTCAGTAATATTCAAATCAGTGTCTGTATTTACTAAAGCCATCTAAGGTTAATTGTAAAATTCTAGATTTTATTTTTAGTCAGATTAATCTTAGATCTAAATCAATTTCTGATTTTGATGCTTAATTAATGATTAATAAACCTAAGAATTACGTTAGTTAAATTCTCTTTCAATAGGATTAAAAGAATCTCTGACATTATTGTTCATATATAAACTATTCATGTTGTTATTATTACTACTGCTTCCACTAATTACTATATTATTCTGCTGAATAATTCCATGCTCAATATATTAGTTAAACAATTCACGTTACTATTGAGGATTGCAATTAGTAGTGTTCATGTTGTTTTTATGAAATGAAAACATCTACTTATATTCCCTGTGTTGTTCTTTGTTTTCCTCATTAGATTGTCTTGGGCTTCTATTCTTGATACTAAGGAATAAATTATTGCTTTGTTACGATTGAAGCTTTTATCTAAGAGCAATTATTTGAGTCCTATCTATTTAATTCGACGTAGAAATTCCTTTATGGTTGATTATATCCTCTCTGATGCTTTTCATATCATACTTGGAGAACGTTACGTTTTTAGTACTGCTTTTCTTGTTTTCTATAGGGGAATTGACTCTTATCATAGAGGATTGAAAATCAGAAGAGTGTTAATAGGAAGTAAGATTTAAATTTTGCTGATCAGAAATATTTCTCAATTATTTAGCTTTTGCATTGAATGTTCTCTTCTTTGATATATTAATATTTTATGGGTTTAGGAATGCCAAGTTTGACTTTTCCATTTAATTTGATATTAAGGTCCTGCTTCTTTAATTCTTGAGTTGTTTTGAAAGTTGATCCTAATCATCAATATTATTAGAATCCTCATTGTCTTTACTTATTTCTATTGATCCTGATTTATTATTACCTTTTTTTGGACTTCTGACAATGAAACTGCTCTACCTCCAGGCTTACCCTCCTTTTTCATTTTAATTTGTATTCTACTTGGTAAGCTTGTTTAATGTGAATTCTGTCCCAGTTAAATTGTAACTTAAATTTTAGTTTTTAATTGTGTTGTTATTCTTTATTCCCCTAGTATATCGATTGCTGTTTGGCATTTCCTAATTTTCCTTTGCTGTTGTTATCAGCTATTATTGCTAAGTCTCTCCACGTTTTTATAATTGTTCCATATTTAATTGTTTTTCCCGAATTAGCTTGCTTAAATCTTGATTTTGATTTGTTTAATACCTCAGTACGACTTTAATTTTCCTTTAGTTTTCAAACAATTGCTTTTCTTGTATCTTATCGTTCCTTATTGATTCAAATAGGATGCAGTCGTATTCAATAACACACTCAGAATTAATTTTCCTTATATGTCTAGAATTCATCGTCTTTTCTCTATTAAGTAAATTTGATGTTCTTCTGCTTCCTCGTTAAGAATCTGGGAGTATAAAGAGATTTAATTTAGCAGGGCTCTCAACATCAAAACTTTTCTCCTCTTCTACCTATGACATTATTTCATCTTAAATCAGAGAGCCTTCATTAGCATATTCTTCACACTTATTCTTCACCTTAAAACCCATTATTGTGCCTGATCCATATTTAGATTCAACATTTAAGGCTCTTCCTAATTTCTTGCTAAGTTGATAAGAGATTGATAGACCCAAGCCCACATTCTTCTTCTCTTTGTTAATCTTATTAATTCCAAAAAGTTCATATAAATATGGGATTTCTGGCTATCTAATTCCAATGCCAGTATCTTCAACTTCAAAGTTAACAAAATTCTTCACTTTTCCTCTTTTTTTGACCATTTCAAGATATATGTAGATCTTGATGAATCCCTTAGATGTAAACTTGATGGCATTTTAAATCAAATTGAACATAATTTGCTTAATCCTATTCGGGTCTGAATTGATTGTTTAAGGAAGCTTCTAATCAAAATATATCTGAAAGTTCAACTGTTTGAGTCTAGCTTAATATTCGAAAGCCTCTGTAACTTCAATGATTATGTCTCTTACATTGAAATAGCAAACCTCAATGAACAATCTATTCTGTTCTATTAGGGAATAATCCTGTAAAAATTAGTAATTAGAATTGAGTATTAAATTACCAATAGATCATTAATCTTATGGAAAAGTATAATTGCACTACTTGTAGAAATCTTTAAATACATCAGTAACTGAGTATCTTTGTTATCTAAAAATTCCCTCATGCTGTTCAAAGAATTTAGTATATCTATAAATGTTATTTCAATAAGCATTATTTACTATGAACTGGAGTTCTCAACTCATGAGACAAAGTGCAGAGTGCCTTTGATTTGTATTTATTTTGCAATTTTATCTTTCTAAAATTTTATGTATCTGTTATGTCCTTGATGACTAATAATATGGTGTCCTCTTCCCCCCATTGTACAAGCGAAGTTTATATTTCAAATTCTTTTTTCTCTAGTTGATTCTCTGCTGCAATATTACTGTAATTTGCAGAAAAACTTTCGTTTAAAAGGGATTGTCTTGGATAATCATGATTGCTAGGCTTAAATAAAGAGTTTATATCATTTGTTTTTCTATTAAGTGGAGTCAAATCTAGACACGAGTTATTTCTACTTGTTGGCACTTTCATTGCTGATTTTGAAAAATAAATTGGTTGATTGTTGCGACTAAAAGCTTACTACAGCTGAATAAAAGCTTTTGAGTAGTCGATATTAAGCTCATTGGACATGATGTCAATATTGTTAAATTGATTACTGTTATCAAAGAAATTATCGCCACTTTTCTCATTTTCTGGAGAATTTTCATTTCTCAGGGTAGGTTTGCTTTCCTTCTTAAACTCATTTACAAAATTAAAGTTGGAAAATTTTGAGCTAAAGAGTTGTTTAGAATTTTCATTCTATTCAATTTTATTCAAGCTTCTTCTGTAATCATGAGAAACTCTAGGAGTAAAGTCATTGTTTCTAATAACATTCAAGCTGTATTTCTAGTTTACTTAAACTTTTTTTTCATAAGGCTCCCCTTTGACGCACCACTAAAGAACCTTACCCACTGCCTCATTTTCTGAATAGGCGTGCAATTACTTACTCAACATTTAATTAGAGTATAAGCACTATGATTTGTTGATTATAATTAGGCCTTAAGGAAATTTTTCTATGAGTCCTCGCCATTTTTAAACTTCTTAATTCAAGGATATCTTAGAACTTATTAAATTTTAATTTAGTTCCCTTATTATCTATTAATCATGAAGAAGTCTATATTCCATATTTAACAAGTAGAAAATTGCAATCAGGCATATAGTCAATGATTCCTTGTTAAAATAAATTAAGAATAGGATTTTGATATTTCTTTGCAATTCTGATTGTCTCAAAGTTGGCATTTCTTCTTTGAAGTAATATAGCTCCTCACTGCTTGAATTTTTTTAATTGCATTACTAATTAAGGTCATTTTCGATGTTTGAGGGAATCAGACCAATGATCATCATGCTTAGTGCAATTTTATGACTTGAATCATAGATTTAGTATATATGGTTCATCATCATTAAGAGTGATGTAAGTAGAAAATCTCTAAAAAATGGCAAATACTCTTCCTTAAATAGAAAGTCTTTTAGTTTACAAACAGTAAAAATTTAGAACAAACTTATCGATAATGCAAAAATCCAATCCAAGTAGCATAAATCTGCTCGGCTTGGTATTTATGAGACTGCAATGAGTAGAGAACTTAATGAAAGAGTCAGGTATGAATTATTGTATAGGCCAGTCTTCAATTTTTAAAATCCATCTTTTAAATGAATAAAAGGTTCTTGTGTAGTGGTACTGCAATTACCGTTCATATTGAACGCAGAGACTAGAGATTAAGATTATATCTAATTTATTGAATTAAATTTCTAGATCAATTTCAAAAATGATTCTTTATTTCATAACGAATTTCTGCATCACGGGGTTTTGGGGTTTTGGGGTTTTGGGG